CAATTACTTTACTCTTTTGTTAATATAGATATATAAACTCATTATTTGGTAATGAGATTGTTTGCTGGATACAAGTAGAGGTCTTATCTATATGTAAAGAGTCCCCTTACAGTCCCTATGTTCTGGAAGACCTACAGCTTTCTTATATTGATGGAAAACCAATATTCCTTAAGAAGTGTATTCCAGAATACAGCCAATAATGCCATCCATTAGTGTAGGGTATAATTTAATCATTTCAAATTTCAAAGGCTTTCCAGAATATGCCAATAAAGATTAGAACTATTTTGTATTGTGAAGCGATTCGAAAGTCAAGAACATCAACAAAATCTGTTAACTTTGGGAAGGAGGTAAACAAATTCGCTACTTAAACAACTACAAGACAATGAGAAACCTGTCTATTTTATAAAGGTAGATAGTTTCATCTTTGCAATTAACAGCAGATGGGTAAGAACTTTGTAGCAGCGCACCCACACACACACAATCTGAAGGAATTCCTAAATTAATAACAAGTAATCGAACACTACAAAGTTGAAAGACAAAGCCGGAGAAGAAGTGGAAGAGGAACATTTTAATTATTTTGAAACTCATCACTAACCCATAACCTTTAAACCGCAATCGAAAGGCATGTGGCCTGCAGTTATCAAATTTAATGCCAAAGATGAATGAAGTCAAACGATACAGTTATAAGGTTACCAAAGTTTGTACTTTTAAACGCTTTTCTCCGAACTCAATTGTAAATTACAATATTCATTTTATAGAGATGAAATAAATTGCTGAAATTTCTCTTCTGCAATGCTGTGAAAATCATGATAACTACTTTCCGACACCAATGCGATACGTCATTACGTCACTACCAATTTGCCAGGTAAAATCGGAAAAATACCAACTGCTTGCTTGAAGGTCATCTTTTAATTAACAGTTTTCGGTTTTCATCATTAAATTTATCAGCTCAAAGCAGCTGTGAAACAATGAGTAATTACACAACTCATCTGGACGCAAAAAAATTGGCAACTGCTTCCCAGGCTTCATCGATACTCTTCTTCAGCTATAGAATATTAATCAAAGGAAGTGAGCATTTTTTGGAAAAACTTTTAATTGCAACATTTAAAAGAAATTAATCAATAAATAAAATAATTTACAGGGATAAAGTTTGATGCTGCAAAGATGGAATGTTTGCAATGAGTAATGGAATTTTCAAGATTTTCCAAAAGAATTTTAGTTTTATTTAATTCTTCGGTGCTCTTTTATTGAGTTTACGATCTCGTCACTTGGGTAAAAAAAGTTTTTTGTCATAGAAGTTATTTTTAAAATAACTTCTCGAGAGAATATCCCAGACAAAAAATAAGGGAACTGATGAGGTTTAGTGGCTCTTTCCAAAACCTAGGTATTCCCTGCCTTAGCCCCTGGTAAACATTACCATCGTTCTACACTAATAAACAAATGTTGTTTTTATGAAAACAAAAATAAAGGGATTAAGCCTGATCATTTCGCAACAAAAAAATATGATATAAATATTGCGACGCGTAAGATTAAGACTACAGGGTGAGATAAAAAAAACTTCAACAAAGTCAAACGCCATCATTTTTAAATTTGTTTTTAAATTTTATTAAATGAAAGCAGAAAATATCGAAAATAGCATCAAATTTTGGAAAAAGTTTAGATTTGTTCTCATTGGTTACCTTTTGCACAAATTATGGCCTTCAAACGGCCAATAAAACCGTCACACGCTGCCCAAATGTTGCTCTGCTGTATTTTGGCCCATTCCTGGCGAAGCGCTTACTTGAGATAATCGACTCTTTGGTATTTTTTAGTGCTAATCTTGCTTTCCAAAATACTCCAGACACAATAGTCCAACGGATTGGTATCCGGAGATTTTGGTGGCCTTTTGGCGCTGGAAATAAAGCGAGGAACCTCATTTTGTAACCATTCTTGGCGCGTGCTGAGTGCGATGGTGCTGAGTCCTGTTGGAATGTCCAAGGTCTGCGGCCAAAATGTTTACGTGCCCAAGGCATTAATACATTTTCCAGAATATTTTCACGATAATATTCGGCATTTATTCTGATGCCACTGTCGATTAATGCGAGCGGAGAGCGACCATCGGCTGTTATGGCGGCCAACACCATCAACATGGCCGGCACTTGAGTTCTGGTGGCCAACCGAAGGTGCACATTTTCAGCTGACCTCTTTGACAAGTAAACACGATCATTTTGTTGGTTTACAAACTGCTAAACAACGAATGTTTTCTTATCGGAGAAAACCAAATTCGGCAGTTCACCACTTTTGGCCAAGTGAAGCAACTCTTGAGCTCTTTTGAGTCTATTTTCTTTCTGTTGCGGTGTAAGTTCTTCCACTTTTGGAATTTCAATGGCTTTCAATATAACGGTATCTCCTGATATTTGGTATTTTGATGATTTTAGTGACATTATCCTCCGGAAATGTTTCAAATTTGGTATTTGAAGTTCGTAATGGGGACTACAGCCTATGAGAGAATATTGTCCGTGCAGGTCCACGCCTTCGTACAGCCCCACATAATGGTACCTCGGCATTTTGATGACTTTAGCTACATTATTCTCCGAAGTTTTTTTTTTCAAGTTTTGCCTTTGAATATTGTAATGGCTTATGACAAAAATTGCCTATACAAGTTTACGTCGTCGTATAGACCCTAATATAACGGCTACATTCGGTATTTTTAAGATTTTAACATAATTTTTACGGATTTAATTTTTTATTTTTTTTTTTGAAAATTGCCTAATTCGGTCCAAATGGTGGAGGGTATTCAAAGTTCAGCTCGGCCGAACTTACAGCATTTTTACTTGTTCTTTTTTAACTATAAACACCATGTGGGAGAGGCTCCAAAAGATATGGTACGATCTTTATAACAGATCTAGTGTTGATAGAAATATTGAGGTGTGCCAAATCTAAATGGAATCGGATATTAATTTCACATTTTATGAGCTTTATGGATATTCAAAATTTTGACCCGTGGTGATGGAGGTACCAAAAAGAGTGGTTCGCTATATTCCATCGTCACATCCGATCTTGTGAAATCAATAATATTGGAATGTGTGACTTTTGAAGACATTCGAAATTTTTATTTCGTATTTTATTGGGGTTTTAAATTTCCCAAATGTTTACCCTTTGTGGGGGAGGTACTTGATGGAGTAAATCGATATTGTCCTGAACTAGCACTGACAAAAATATGGGGATTTGCAAAGATTGCACCGAATTGAATGATGCTTTGTCTTCGTATGAGGTAAATTATTTTCTTGGAAAATGTTGACCTTTTATGGGGGAGGTACCAGAAGTAGTGGACCGATAGTGCCCATCTGCGAACTCGCTCTAAGTTTGATTATAATATTACGATTTACCAAGTCTGGACTAAATCGGAAACTTCCTTCGAGAGTAATCGTGCGCACCAGATAACCGGACGGACGTAACTAGATCGACTACAAATGTCCTGAAACGGATTTAGTCTAACGGACTTATTTCGACCTTTTGACGCGGAACGGCTGAAGGTAGAATCTTGAAATTATGCACTAGGGACTTGGTGGTCTTGGTGCGTAATCATGTGATAATGCTGGGTGTATGGAAGTTCCTACTTATTGGGTACGAGAAATACAAAATTTTCCTAAAAAGTGAATACTTTGTATTGTAGAAACGGAATGCGCTGGAATTTTGAAATGTTACTTAATTTGAAACAATTAGACAGACGGACGGACGTCCCTAGATCGATTACAAATGTTCTGAATCGGATTTGGTATAACAGACTTATTTCGACCTTTTGATACGGAACTGCTGAAGCTAGAATCTTAAAATTATTCACTATGGACTTGGTACTAAAATGTCCTAAAATACTAAAATATACTAAAATGTCCTAAAAATTTGAATACTTTGTATTGGACAAGCGGAATGCGCTGGAATTTTGAAATGTTACTAAATTTGAAACAATTAGATACATAGGTTCACGTCTTCGTATAGGCCAGTACACATTTGCAAAACCACCACCAGATCTCAACAGCAGATACCAACAGAGACTTCAATATTACATTTCATTTGTTGAGCTTTATACATTCACTAAATACGAAATTTAACAACATTTAGTACATTTTGAATAATTTTAGTACCAATTTGCAAAACCATTGAGTTATGAAACTCAATCCTAGACACCAACAGTTATCGCAATATAACATTTCACGGTTGTATCCTTTCAGCCAATATTTAATTTAGTACCATTTAGTACATTTCGTACAAATATAGAACGCAATTCCTAACCACCCCCAAATCTCAAACACAGATATCGCCAGCAATTTATATGTCAAATTTCAGAATTACAACTCTATTCCTTCACGCAAAACCAAATATAGTACCATTTAGTACTTTTTGTACAATTTTAGTATACATTTCTTAAACCAGCTTTATATGTCCTGGATACACATAAACAGCAGCTCTAATCCCAAATTTCAGATTTCAAGCACTATATTTAGTATTTTTTTTCTGCGTTTTTGAACACATTTTCAAAACCATTTCGTTATTGCAAACCTATTATCAACAGGGACCCAATACAATATTTTCAAATTGAAGCATCACCCGTTCATCCAAGCTATCCAGGCTACACATGAACAGCAACCCTAATTTCAAGCATTATCTCTTCACCTAATACCAACTTGTACCAAATATAGTACTGTTTAGTACGTTTTCCGCGTTTTTTTTTTTTTTTTTTTTGAACACAATCGCAAGATCATTTCGTTATTACAAACCTACCATCAACAGGGACCCCAATACATCAACAATATTTTCAAATTCAAGCATCTCCCGTTCACTCTAAACCAACCTGTGAAGCACTTAGTTCGCGTGACCAAAACTACCTTAATCGGTTCAGATTTAAAAATCTTCTACATATATCTTGGCTCAAGTTCTTTAAAAAATTTACAATTTCACTAACATTTACAACAAATTTTTCAATACAACAACTTCTTCTACTTTCAGGTCCAGCCGTCGTTATTCCATTTCGTGTATGACAACGTGATTGTGTAGCGACTACGATGTCGCTCCATGAGACGCCATCAAATATCAGATTATTCGAGACATCCACACTGAAATCGATAGCGGCATCAACAATTAAAACATTAAAAAACAGCGGTAGCACTGCCAAACAAAGTCCTGCATACAATCGGCCAACAACTCATTACCAACAAAATTTTCTGTTTGGAAAAGCCAGGCAACAGCAGCAACACCATCCACAGCAGCATCAGCAACAGTATCCCGAACAGAATGAAACAACATTTGCCCTGGTCTCTCAAAATGCAAACAATGCAACAGCCACCTTAACAACAGCGACGACAACAACAACAACACGACCAACAATAGACGAGAATCTAGTGGCAACGTCACAACGTCAACAGCCTGCAATATCCATGTTAACCAATGCTGCCAATGAAACCTCATCGCACACCAGCCTAGCAACATCAATTCCTCTACCGCCATCAACCTTATCTTTGCCATCATCATCATCGTCGTCATCATCATCAACGTCCGTGCTAACAACGTCAAACTCATCGGCTACATTTCCTCATGACTTAACATTGGCATCCTCCTCCTCCACCACTTCGACATCCACATCTCCGTCCTCATCCGCGGAATCATCGGGCACAAGCGCCCTATCAACCTCTACATTTTCATCGCCAACTGTTTTCAACGATTCGGTAAAAACGTTAACTTCCGCTCTCACAACGGGTACATTCAACGATGCCGCCGATGCAGCAACCTCCTCCTTTCCCCTGTCCGCCACCAACAATGCCTTAGATGAGAATTTATTTTCCACTCCTTACAGTTATCTCGATGGCTACAGTAGCAGCAACAGCATCACGGCGACCACCATCACCAACACAGACACCATTCCCACCACCAGCACCAGCACCTCCCTCATTAGCGGCGCCATTATGAACAATAGCAGCTACTTTGGCTCACCATTCAATCTAAGCCTTTCGGAGAATTCCACAACGACATCACTTCTGTCCTCGATGGCCTCCATTACCAGCGATGTCAGTATCGCCGATGACAGCGACAGCGATAATTGGATGGACCTTTCGGTAGTCATTCTGAAAGGCTTTATATTCTTCTCAATTATTCTAGCAGCCGTTCTTGGAAATGCGTTGGTTATAATTTCCGTTCAGCGTAATCGTAAATTGCGGTAAGTATGCAATTGTCAGCAGTTTGTTGGATTCAATCCATAGCCATTGATGGCGATGTAATGACGACGCCGAGGATGTTGAGGACATTTTCACTTTGTGGTTTCAAATTTTAATCACAAGTACAATTTTGTGTGTAATGGTCGTGGAAATTATGGCCACAAAATGTGGCTTCCTTTTCGAGGGTGATTATGGGTGATAATCGGCAATTTTACAAAATGTTATTGAAACCGCCCGTAATGTGAAATAAATATTGTTTTCAAGAGTCTCGACAAACAATATCGTGGGTTTATTTATATAAATAAACCCCCTTAGCAATATGGCTTCAGACGGTATGTATCACTTGATACGGACAAAAAGTGCCCCATCGAAATTTCGATTTTAGACTTTATGTCTCTTTTGGACCAAATACGTTTCGGGACATTCAGAGTCGATGTAGGGGTGTCCGTCCGTCTGTCTGGCTGGCTAGTGCGCACGATAACTCTTGAAGGGAGCACCTGATTTGGTCCAAACATCGAGTTCGGAGATGGACAATATCAGTCCACTCTTTCTGCTATCTCCCCCAAAAAAGATCGAAATTTTTAAAAAAAAAAAATTATGTACAGAAAAACAAGTAAAAAAACATTTAGTTCGGCCGGGCCAAACTTTTAATACCCTCCACCTTAGGGTAAAGGAAACATTAGAGCCCATTATGACCCACATATACCAACTTTTAGATAAATTCATGGGAAAATATACCAAAAATCATCAAAATATCGAATATAGGGAAATACGGCTATATGGGGCTATACAGAAACGTGAACCTGTACATACAGTGTTTCGCCAAAAGAGCAAGAACCCATTAAGACCAACAAATACCAATTTCTAGACAACTCTGCGAAGAAATGTGGCAAAAACCATTAAAAAAACCATTATATGGGGGCTATACCAAATCGGAGACCTATAAATGCAATGTTTCACCAAAGGAGCTACAAATCCAATACAAATACCAATTTTCAGACAAATCCGTGAAAAATGTGGCAAAAATCATCAAAATACCGAATATTGGGAGGTACCATTATATGGGGACTATACCAAGAAGTGAACCTATAATTGCAATGATTCGTCACACGAATTGGGACTCATTATGACCTACAACTACCAATTTTCAGAAAAATCCGTGAAAAAATGTGTCAAAAATCAACAAAATACCGCATATCGGGAGGTACCGTAATATGGGGACTATACCAAAACGTGGACCTATACATACAATGTTTCGCCACACGAACTAGGAACCATTATGATCTACAAATACCAATTTTTGGACAAATCAGTAAAAAAATTTGTCAATAATCATCAAAAGACCGAATATCGGGAGGTACCGTTATATGGGGGATATACCCAATCGTAGATCCATACATTCTATGTTTCGCCACCGGAGCTGGAACCTATTATGACCAACAAATAACAATTTTTAGACAAATCCGTGAAAAAATGTGGCAAAAATAATCAAAATACCGAATATCGGGAGGTACCTTTATATGGGGACTATAGAAAAACGTGGACCGATATATCTCATTTTCAATACCAACCATCCAAGAAACCAAACAAATTGCTCTGCTAAATTTTGGCGCTCTACGTCAAATAATGTGGGCTGTATCGTGATTTCAACAGACAGACAGACAGACAGTCCGACGGACATCATTAAATCGACTTAGAATTATGTGCTGATTATGAATATATATATATATACGACGAATATTTAAAGATGTTACAAACGAAATGACAAAGTTAATATACCCTCCTTTCCAAAGTGGAGGGTATAAAAGCGATAATCTGATTTTGCCCTGGTGTTAAGACGGAATATATTGGTCCACTCCTTCTGGTACCTACCCCACAAAAGGTTGACATTTTGAATATCCATTGTCATAAAACGCGAAATAAGAATCAGGTTCTCTTTATATGTATCTCACACATCCCATTATTTCTACTAACACAAGATCTGTTGTGAAGATGGAGTATATCGGTCCACTCAATCAAGTACCTCCCCCACAGAGGGTAAAAGTTTTAAATATTCATAAAACTCGAAATTAACATTCGATTCCATTCAGACCTGGCACATCTCAATATTTTCATTAACACAAGATCTGTTATAAAAAAGGTAATGATCGGACCATTTCTTCTGGTATCTCCCCCACATATGGTTCAAGATTTTGAAAAACAAAACACTCAAATAAAGCGAAATATGCATCCAACTCTCTTCAAATTTCACAAATCCAAATATTTGATTTAATAATTTATGTGAATTTGAGGAAAATTAAAAAAAAACTCCTTAAGCTAAATCCTATATATTTTATAAATATTTCTACAAGAGTTCTCTTTAACAAAATCTTAGTTTTTTCATGAATATTTATTCGAGAAACCTTAGAAGCTAGCTACTGACTTCTTAATCATACCTTTTAAAGCCCTCAGAATTATGAGGAAAATTATAGATTTTTAAGAATTTTTTTTATTTTTATAGATTTTTGGAATATTTTTTCAAAAAGAGTTTTCTAGGAGTTATCAGGACTAAAATTGCGAATATCAACCAAAATTGTTTAAGAGACGTTAATTACAATTTTTAGATTTTTAAGAATAAAATTGGCAGATCTCTAAAATGCAAAAATCATGAAATCGAAGAATATTTTTTCAGGAGCTCTTATAAGTAAAGCCGTGGACATTTTAAACAAAAATTACAAAAAAAAAAACCCTTAGAAGAAATATCGATCTCCGAAAAAATTGGATATTTTTAAGAATAATTTGTCAAGAGACCACCTGACAAATTTTTGGGATTTGTAAAAACATTTTCTTAAAAGCCCATTTAATCGAAATGTTGGACCCCTTAGAAGCGAAAGCTGAACTTTTCATATAAACCTTATTAAGAGCCATTAGGTTAATATTTTTAGAAATTATTTTTTTAATGACCTCAGAATAAGAATCCTGGGTTTTTATGAAAAATTTCCAAAACTCTCAGAATGAAAATAGTATAGTATTAACAAGAGTATTTGGATTTTTAAGAATCAAAAGTATGCATTTTTAGAAATGTCTTTCAGAAGAACTTAGAAATATCTTTCAGAAGAACTTGGAACACGTTTACAAAAACCGTCTCCAGAAAAAAATTGCACTCCAAAGAAAAATATAAGATTTTTTTAAAATATCTTTTCAAGGTATCCCATGAGACCTCATGACAAAATCTAGAATTTTTATACCCTCCATCATAGTATGGAGGGTATATTAAGTTTGTCTTTCCGTTTGTAACACCTAGAAATATACATTTTGGACCCCACAAAGTATACATATTCTTAATCAGCTTAAAACTCTATGTCGATTAGCGATATCTGTCCGTCTATCTGTCAGTGGAAATCACTCTGGTTTTCGAACGAAATGAAGTTGGTTGATAAAATCGTACTCAAATATATATTATTTCGGCAGGACTCTTAGTATTGAAAATGGGCCATGTAGGTCCACGTTTTGGTATAGCACTCATACTATGGTACATCCCTATTTTCGGTATTTTGATGATTTAACCGATATTATTCACTGGAATTGTTTCAAATTTGGTATTTGAAGTTCGTAATGAATACTACAGCCTATGACTGAAAATTATCTCTTCAGGTTCACGTCTTCGTATAGCCCCCATATAACGGTACCTCCCTATATTCGAAATTTTGATGATTTTACCGACATTATTCACTGGAATTGTTTCATATTTGGTATTTGACAGAAAATTATCTGTGTAGGTGCACGTTTTGGTATATCCCCCATATTATGGAACCTCCATATATTCGGTATTTTTATGATTTTAGCTACATTATTTACCGATTTTTTTTTTTTTTTTTTTTTTTTTTTGAAGTTTCGCATTTGAATATTGTACTGGCTTATGACAAAAGTTGACTATGAAGGTCCACGTCGTCGTTAGACCTAAAAATACTCTTTGGTATTTTTAAGATTTTAACAGAATTTTTAACAGATTTTATTTTTTTTTTAATTGCCAAATTCGTTTCAAATGGTGGAGGGTGTTCGAAGTTCGCCGAAGCCAAATCTGCTGCTTTTTTTAGTTGTATAATATTATTTTCTCCTTAGTAAAAATATTGTATGTGGAAATGTTTTATCTTCGATTAGGATCCAAATTTTGGATTTATCAAAAATATTTATTCAAGAGCCAAATCTAAGATTTTAGACATTTTTCTTATTAGGTCTTAGTGGATTTTTTTAGAAAGCACTCAGAAGAAAACTGTAGAAATATTAATTCACGAGATAATTTTTCTACAGACCTTTATAATAAAATTGTTTTTTTTTAGGAGTTTTAACAGCAAAATCCTGGATTTTAGGAGCCTTATAAAGCAAAATTGCTAACTTTTTAAATAGCCTTGCTTTTAAAGGCTCTTGGAAAAAACTTAACATTACTGGAATATTTTAAGGAATATTTTCAAGAACCTTCAGAAAATAAATCGTGATATGCACTCTTCCTTTTTGAGGTCATTTTTTAAGTTTTTTTTTTCTTTCAAGAGTCCTAAGAAGTAGGATCGTGCATCTCTAGAAATATTTTTTAGAGAAAAATTATGATTTTCGCTAATATTTTACTAAGGACTCTCTGAAGCAAAGTCGGGGATATAAAAGATTATATTTTAAAAGCCCTGAGAATAAAAAAGAAGAATTTTTAAAATGTTTTAACAAAACTTGAAAGTAGGGTCGTGGATTTCTCAAAACCGTTTTTATTGGGCCGCCAGTTCGTTCTTGATTCATTGATCCTTATCATTAAATTTTGAGGTGGTATTTTTAAAACATATTTTTCCAAGAGCCCACAGAAAAAAATCGTGAATTTCTCAACATATTTGTTAAGAGAAAAAAATTATGGATTTTCAAGAATATTTAATGGCTTTCTGAAGCAAAAAACGTGGATTTTAAAGAATATATTTTAATGGCCAAAAGAATCAAAATTTGAGATGTTTTTCAAAAGCCTTTAGAAGCTAAATAATCCCTA